AAACAACAATCATTAGTTTTAAATATAATTAAGTTTCATTTTAAAAAAGAAACAATACAAATAAATGAGATATCTTTAAAAACACCGAATTCTAGTCTCAGCGCAAAAATATTTTAAAGTTTTTAGAATCATAATCCCTATGAAATTCAGTAGGTGCAAAGACAATAAATAAAAACATAGCTTTACTATTAATTTATTAAATTAATTTAAATAATACTACAATACGTTATTTGTTTTATTACGTATACAATTCCTCTGAAGGTCATTTCACATTCAAATAAATTATATTTTTAAACTAAATTAAATTCAATTAAGCATATTAAATTGAATTAAATAATAAACGATTTTGGTGCTCTTGAATTAATTTAAGTTTTGTTAGTCACAAATCTCAATGTATTATCGAATAAATATAAAATTGAATTACTTTTAGAGTTGTTGCAAGCAAAATATTAAAGGAAAATTGTCAGTGCTAAGGATCTTAGCTCTTGATGCAAAAACTTGAATAGATAAAGACTATTATAATTTAAAAACAGATCTTGAAAATCGATATAAAAACGATAAAAAACTTAAAAATGATAAAAAACTTAAAGAAGCATATGTAAAACTTGGATTAGTTAGATTTTTGATTAGAAAAAAATCATTTGAAGAAGCACAGGAGTTACTAAACCAAATTGGACCCAACCACAATGACAGATATATTTCCTCCGAATTCACAAGTCTTACTTCAACTCTTACTTCAACTCTTACTTCAGAACTTCTTACTTCAGAACTTAATAAAAAAAAAAATAAAAAATAAAAAAAAGATTCTTCAATATATATCATTTTCATAATTTTTGAAAATTTATTACAACACATGTATTTTTTTTTTAAAAAAAAATTTTTTGTATATTAAGCTGATATTAGTATTTGCAATAACCAGAAACTTGATTTCAAAATTGAAACAGGTTCTTAAATATATCTCGAGCCTATTATCTAACATGTACATAAGGCAAAGATAAATTTTTAAAATTTTAATAACTATAATAAATATATATATAAACAAGTACACTAAGCTCGATAAATAATTTAGTTTTACATATTAGATTTATGATTACAAAAATTTGAACCCAGTTTCGGCTTCATCAATATTAAATCTACAACAAATATAATCTAATATCAATCTTGAGAACAACTAAACAATGATATAAATCGCAATGAATCTTTTTTTGGGTTATTACTAAAATTT